ATATATATATATATATATATATATATATATATATATATATATATATATATATATATGTCGTGCCGAATAGGCAGAACTTGCTATCTTGGCTTAAATAGCAACGTTCATCTTGCCATATAGGACAAGTGAAAATTTGTGTATGCAATAATTTCGCCTAAATCATTCTGAACCTAACGAAAAAAATATATTTCACTGTGTTTGCTTAGTATTAAATTATTGCAAACAAATCTAAAATATATTTAGTTGGGTTAGGCTAAAATAAATTGAGCTTGTTATAATAAGGTTAGGTAAGTTTTCTAAGTTCCTATTGGTGCAAAATTATAAATTTTTACATCAACCTTAATGAAAAAAATATATCTTTAAACGTATAAGAGAAAATTTTAGAAAGGACTTAATTTTAAATGAGTTCTTGCTAATTGACCAGTTTTACATATTCGGCACGACATATATATATATATATATATATATATATATATATATATATATATATATATATATATATATATATATATATATATATATAATTTCTTTCAACACAACGGCCTTATCCCACCGAGGCAGGGTGGCACAAAAGGAAAAATTAAAGTAATATATACAGGAGAAGGGGTTTCTAGCCCCTTGCTCCCGGCATTTTAGTCACCTCTTACGACACGCATGGCTTACGGAGGAAGAATTCTGTTCCACTTTCCCATGGAGATAAGAGGAAATAGACAAGAACAAGAACTAGAATGAAAATAGAAGAAAACCCAGAGGGGTGTGTATATATATGCTTAAACATGTATGTGTAGTGTGACCTAAGTGTAAGTAGAAGTAGCAAGACGTACCTGAAATCTTGCATGTTTATGAGACAGAAAAAGACACCAGCAATCCTACCATTATGTAAAACAATTACAGGTTTTCGTTTTACACTCACTTCGCAGGACGGTAGTACCTCCCTGGGTGGTTGCTGTCTACCAACCTACTATATATATATATATATATATATATATATATATATATATATATATATATATATATATATATATATATATATATATATATATATATATATATATATATTCACAAACACTAATCTCAGGTATGCAGTGCTCTACCACCGTACCATGCTGGTTCAAATACCTTGGTTCCCAGTTAACGCTAGACGTTTTGGTCCACAGCAGCCAGCTTTCACGCAGGTGGCTTTCAGCTTTTTCATCTTATCCCTGCATGCATCGTATTTGGACCAATAAGGTACGGTGGTAGAGAACTGCGTACCTTGTTCCAAGGTGCGTAGGTTCGAATCTCCTTCGAAATGAAATTAGTCTTTGCGAATATTTCGTCTGTTCTGCGAGTTCTAAACATATAATATATATATATATATATATATATATATATATATATATATATATATATATATATATATATATATATATATATATATATATATAATATGAGAGAGAAAGAACAAATGGATTTGTCAGTTAAAAATAGGAGAGGAGAGTTATTAAATGGAGAGTTAGAGGTATTGGGAAGATGGAGGGAATATTTTGAGGAATTGTTAAATGTTGATGAAGATAGGGAAGCTGTGATTTCGTGTATAGGGCAAGGAGGAATAACATCTTGTAGGAGTGAGGAAGAGCCAGTTGTGAGTGTGGGGGAAGTTCGTGAGGCAGTAGGTAAAATGAAAGGGGGTAAGGCAGCCGGATTGATGGGGTAAAGATAGAAATGTTAAAAGCAGGTGGGGATATAGTTTTGGAGTGGTTGGTGCAATTATTTAATAAATGTATGGAAGAGGGTAAGGTACCTAGGGATTGGCAGAGAGCATGCATAGTTCCTTTGTATAAAGGCAAAGGGGACAAAAGAGAGTGCAAAAATTATAGGGGGATAAGTCTGTTGAGTATACTTGGTAAAGTGTATGGTAGAGTTATTATTGAAAGAATTAAGATTAAGACGGAGAATAGGATAGCAGATGAACAAGGAGGCTTTAGGAAAGGTAGGGGGTGTGTGGACCAGGTGTTTACAGTGAAACATATAAGTGAACAGTATGTAGATAAGGCTGAAGAGGTCTTTGTTGCATTTATGGATTTGGAAAAGGCGTATGACAGGGTGGATAGGGGGGCAATGTGGCAGATGTTGCAGGTGTAAGGTGTAGGAGGTAGGTTACTGAAAGCAGTGAAGAGTTTTTACGAGGATAGTGAGGCTCAAGTTAGAGTATATAGGAAAGAGGGAAATTATTTCCCAGTAAAAGTAGGCCTTAGACAAGGATGTGTGATGTCACCGTGGTTGTTTAATATATTTATAGATGGGGTATGGAGGAGGTGAATGTATTCAGATATTTGGGAGTGGACGTGTCAGCGGATGGGTCTATGAAAGATGAGGTGAATCATAGAATTGATGAGGGGAAAAGGGTGAGTGGTGCACTTAGGAGTCTGTGGAGACAAAGAACTTTGTCCTTGGAGGCAAAGAGGGGAATGCATGAGAGTATAGTTTTACCAACGCTCTTTTATGGGTGTGAAGCATGGGTGATGAATGTTGCAGCGAGGAGAAGGCTGGAGGCAGTGGAGATGTCATGTCTGAGGGTAATGTGTGGTGTGAATATTATGCAGAGAATTCGTAGTTTGGAAGTTAGGAGGAGATGCGGGATTACCAAAACTGTTGTCCAGAGAGCTGAGGAAGGGTTGTTGAGGTGGTTCGGACATGTAGAGAGAATGGAGCGAAACAGAGTGACTTCAAGAGTGTATCAGTCTGTAGTGGAAGGAAGGCGGGGTAGGGGTCGGCCTAGGAAAGGTTGGAGGGAGGGGGTAAAGGAGGTTTTGTGTGCGAGGGGCTTGGACTTCCAGCAGGCATGCGTGAGCGTGTTTGATAGGAGTGAATGGAGACAAATGGTTTTTAATACTTGACGTGCTGTTGGAGTGTGAGCAAAGTATCATTTATGAAGGGGTTCAGGGAAACCGGCAGGCCGGACTTGAGTCCTGGAGATGGGAAGTACAGTGCCTGCACTCTGAAGGAGGGGTGTTAATGTTGCAGTTTAAAAACTGTAGTTGATAAATTAGACACATGTGCAACTCTTGGATTCTTTATTGAGGAAACGTTTCGCCACACGGTGGCTTCATCAGTCCATACAAAGGAGAATCTTGAAGAACAGGAGGAGAATGAGGTAATCAGTCCCTCAACCTTGAGACGATGTGGTCAGTCCATCAATCCCAAGAGTTGCACATGTGTCTAATTTATCAACATGTCGGTTCTCTGAACCATTCATCTACAAAAAACTGTAGTGTAAAGCACCCTTCTGGTAAGACAGTGATGAAGTGAAGGATGGTGAAAGTTTTTCTTTTTCGGGCCACCCTGCCTTGGTGGGAATCGGCCAGTGTGATAATATATATATATATATATATATATAAAATATATATATATATAAATATATATATATATATATATATATATATATATATATATATATATATATATATATATATATATATATATATATATATATATATATATATATATATATATTATATATATAATATATATATAATATATATATATATATATATATATATATATATATTATTATACATAATAATATAATATAATATATATATATATATATATATATATATATATATTATATATATATATATATATATAATATATATATATATATAATATATATATATATATATATATATATAAAATATATAAAATATATATATATATATATATATAATATATATATATATATATATATATATATATATATATAATATACACACATGTCGTGCCGAATATGTAAAACTGGTCAATTAGCAAGAACTCATTTAAAATTAAGTCCTTTCTGAAATTTTCTCTTATATGTTTAAAGATATATTTTTTTATTAATGTTGATGTAAAAATTTATAATTTTGCACCAAAAGAATCTTAGAAAACTTACCTAACCTTATTATAACAAGAACAATTTATTTTAGCTTAACCCAATTAAATATATTTTAGATTTGTTTACAATAATTTAATACTAAACAAACACAGTGAAATATATTTTTTTCATTAGGTTCAGAATGATTTTGGCGAAATTATTGCATACAAAAATTTTCGCTTGTCCTATATGGCAAGATAAACGTTGCTATTTAAGCCAAGATCGCAAGTTCTGCCTATCCGGCACGACATATATATGTCGTGCCGGATAGCGACACAGAGTAAATATAATGGGTGCTATCCTATACATAACTTGTATCAGCTCTTAAAGAATGAAGTGGTTTAAAATAGGTTTATTAAAATATATTTTTTGTGATTCAATTTGGAAAAAAATTCAATTTACTAACACATGACTCTCGAATGTTTCATGTCGACCGGAAGAGGCTTTTCAACGTTATCTTATCTATCCAGGAAAGTGTAGGTTGTATATTCTGATCATAGAACACATTAGTAAGTTAATTGCTTCATGTTCCTTTCCAGCGATTAAAATTTTGCCGATCGGATGAGGCATTCTCAATTTATATACCACAGTTTGGGGGAAAATAGAATAAATAATCAGACAATACGCTTAAAGGTACTTCTTCTGTTATACTTAATTATGGGATGAGACGTAAGAATATTACTAGAAGTAATGCTGTTCCTGAAACATATAAATGACATAATATAAACAAGTAGTTTGCTAATGATGTAAAATTAATGGATATTTAGATTAGGAATGGAAGCTAAAGGGAGAAATACTTTTTAATCTAATCATACTCCGGCCGGGATTGAACCCGCGGTCAGAGAGTCTCAAAACTCCAGCCCGTCGCGTGAAAAGCGAATTGATTTTAATAAAGGAGGGTTAATAGGAAACTCAGTACAAAGCTTCATGATTAGATATGATCAGCCCTAAGAAATAAAAAATCATAAATTCCTGTCAAAATTTTCTATAAATAGGACGACTAGGTACTGAGTTTTGACCATTGTAAACAACTCATTGACGTCTTTGCTATGTGAGTTTTTCTTTACGACTCAGTAACCACATCTCATTCCTGTTCCTTGCACAGCCTGGACACCAGCCCCTTCGTGCGTCACACCTTCTGGTCAACTATAGTGTTGGGTTTTAACTTGATGTTAAATTCCATGGCTTTCAACCAGTCATCATACCAGAGGTTAGCCTCCGTCAGCACTCTTAAGGTAGCACAGAGGTAAGTTGATTTGTTTTAAGGTCTTATCTTTTTAACACTGGAATATACAGAGAATGCTAACTTTGAAATTTATGCAAAGAATGTTTCACCCATAAAAACATAGAGAAGGTCTCAGTTACAGTACAGAGGAAATGCAGCAGAGCAACTCAAATAGAGGATTACGACCAAGAAAACCGAAAGGGAAATACCACTAAGCAAAATATAAAACGTATAACACCCGGAAAATATATACCACCTCGCAAAATCCGTATATTGAGTTTATGAATTCAGTATCGCAGTGCCTATGGTACCGTGTAATTAGGTCAACGCACTCTTTAGATTTCTGGAGTTCCCGGACAAACTTCCGATAAAAGCTCAGGGCTTCTGTTTCTGACAGATTTGTAATAAACTCGTCTCTTCCATCATTACTCAAGGTGCAGTGCGGACAGAGGTGGAACGTTTTAGCAAAATTTTCAGTTTCTGTTGTTCGGTAGCTCAAGACTCAATTTCTCTTTTTCCAAATTTAAATAACGATGATCTGTAAGTTAGCACTGATAAGTAGTCCAAAAACTCAAATTTCTAAGAGTATCAGAACCTTCAACGCAGCTCATTCATACATAGATTTTTTTCTAGGCCACCGAGACCAAGCATTGTGAAGATATTCTCAAGTCATTTTGAATCATAAGATAAGATCAGATTTCGTTCGGATTTTTAACCCTGAAGGGTTAGCCACCCAGGATAACCCAAGAAAGTCAGTGCGTTATCGTGGACTGTCTGTCTTATTTCCACTGGGGTCTTCAATCTTGTCCCCCAGGATGCGACCCACACCAGTTGACTAACACCCAGGTACCTATTTTCTGCTAGGTGAACAGGACAGGTGTAAGGAAATGTGTCGGAATGTTTCCACCCGCCGGGAATCGAACCCGGGCCCTCCGTGTGTGAAGCGGGAGCTTTAGCCACCAGGCCACCTCCCTCAGAAACCTATTAATTGTCACTAAAATTTTAAACCAATCAGAAGAAGAATAGTGGTCGCTGGTGCGCAAAACCTTCACAATAACTAAAAAAATGGAATTAATAACTATCAGAAATAACTGCACTACTTTTGTTTTTAAAGTAACCTCAAACCGCACACACGTTACCTAGGGTTCGAATCCCATCCAGCTTATAATGAATTTAGCTACAGTCTTCCATTAAGATTTTTCCGATGGTACTGGCAGTGAGGGGACAAGAGCTAAACTTATTAGTGGTGCTGTTGGTGATGGGGAATCGAACCTACAACAATCATTTAGGATATATCGAAATGTAGGCTTTATTGATAAAGAGTTTTGGACTCGAATTCCACTTCAGAGTGAAGGATGAGGGATGAGCATGTAAATATTCCACTTTCCCTACTCATATATATATATATATAAATATATATATATATATATATATAATATATATATATATATATAATATATATTATATATATATATATAATATATATATATATATATTATGCAAATATCCAAACTAAGCTATACAGGATGCAAAACAACCACGAGGGGGGAGTAGAATGATAGCTCTAGGCCTTTCGTGTTGTAATCAACACATCATTAGGAGCTTGCAAAATTGCAGAGAAGAGGAGGAAGTCCAAGCAATTATGTTCCCAGACGACCGTCTTCAATGGAATGAGTGAGTGAGGGAGGGAGGAGGGTACAGGAAGTGCCACCAGGCACAACAGTGCTACCAGGCACAACAGTGCCACCAGGCACAACAGTGCCACCAGGCACAACAGTGCCACCAGGTACAACAGTGCCCACACCCAGAAGGATGAATATTACAATAGCATTAGAAAAATCCCACAAGCAGTAATATTGTAATATCCTAAACGAAATTAACGTGGCAATAATAAAACATTCGGTTATATTCTATTATGACATCAACAAGTTTACACACATAAATATATCGCCAAATGATATATTAGTCACCTGCAATTATAGGGTAGCCTCCCACGGGACAACGTGCCCATTTAAAGTGACGAGAAAACGGTAACATTTAAAAGGGAGACTTATGAAAGCTATGTACAGGAAACGGGGCTCATTAAAATAAACTTATTTAAAGAGGGAGGCATCTGCAATAACAAGAAAGATGGCCACAGATATTCAGCCCACACAAATCTGAGGCAAACTCTGGTTCAACCTTCAGAAACTGCAGGAAAAATTAGGCCCTTAATGACCTTGGTGTTGGCAGACATTTAAGACCAGTCTATGCATTATATTAGAGCCCAATTTTAGGCTGTGTACTATTGCCTCAACTAAAAGCGCATCTAATTTGAACAGCCCGTCACTGATATTGCATATTAATGACTGCCTATTATGGCTATATCTGCCGATTTCTAATTATGCCTTTCTAGCAGGAGGTACAAAGAGAAGTCGAACTTTCTTGCTTCCTACCAGCTTGCCGAGTTTTTACCAAGCTCTATTATCGTGGATAATCGCGATCGTCTACTGTGCGATACGGATCGAATAACGGTGTGGGAAATTCTCAACCTCCATTGGTTTTCCCGTTTGTCCTAAATATGAGAGTCTGGCAACGTTGCAACCAACTCTGTAGACACTCCAACAGTCGTTTGAGTGCATTCTTTCTTCAGGTTGGTTTCTAAGCAGTCCATGTATTTTTCAAATATTGCTTGATAATTAAATCTTATAAGAGGCTAGATAGATAAAATTCTCGATTATATGGGAGTTCTGTTCTTTAATAATTTTTTTTTAGCTGCCAACAAGGCAGATTACACAGACACTTAGGATACAGATTTTCTTGCCGTTGTCAAATATTTTCTTAATTTTTCAGTAGGAACTCCGGACTGCACACTCTGTAGGCTCTCAAAATTCATAGTAAGAAATACACTCCTTTTGACTCTTGTCTCAGGGCTGGGAGAGTAGTAGTGAATGTATGAGAACAATTGGTGGCTCTATATACTGTAAAATTAATCTTTCACAACCCATTGTATCTCCTCCTTCATTTCTGCAAATTTTGCAGCTCCTTGATGATGTGCTGTTTGCTACACGAAAGTCTACAGCAATCTTTCTACTCACCGTGGTTGTTTTGCAATATATTATTATATTATATAAATATATTATATATATTATATATATTTCTATATATATATTTATATTAATACATATTTATATTATATATATATATATACTATATCTATATATATATATATATATATATATATATATTGTATATAGATATATATATTTATATATATATATTATATATATATATTATATAATTTATATGTATATATATATATATTTTATATCATATATATATTATATATATATTATATATTTATGGGGAGTATCAAGATCAGCAAGTACAGGGGACATAAGCAACAGGGACATAAGCCAATTTGTTCACAGTTGGGAAATCAGAGGGACCTTGGGATCATGGGGGGGGAAAAAAAAATCCACCGTTCCTTAAGGAATTGGGTTCCAGATCATAGACACCACCAGGGACCCAAAAAAAAATGGGCAGCCCACTCTTATCATGTTCCAGCGCCTCAGCGTAGACATCCAGAGGGGGGAATGCTTGCGTGCATTCTTGGCTCGCGTCCAGCTCGGTGGAGCTGGAGGAAATTCATGATCTTTGATACTGAGCCATTGGATTCTGTTTGTTTTTATGTAAATGTATTCTGTTTATTAATAAAATGTTCAAATTGAAGAATATAAAAATATATAGGGGAGGTGGGTAGGAGAAAGAAAATATTTAAAATGCCTCCGGGGAGAACTTGGTTTTCACTGGAGTTACGTTTATTTGTTTCTCTGAGGAGAGAGGTCCCCATTCCAGCTATAGAGCTGGTACTTCCCTAATATTATATATATATATATATATATATATTATATATATTTATTATATATATATTTATATAATATATATATATTATTATATATTTATATATATATATATTTATTTATTATAGATCTATATATATATATATATATATATATAATTATATATATATATATATATATATATATATATATATATATATATATTTATAGTTATATATTTATATATATATATAATTATATATATATATATATTTTTATTTATATATATATTTATATATATATATATATTTATATATTTTATATATATATATATAAACATATATATGCAAAACAACCACTGTCGAATGAGTAGTGAAATTCAAGCGCTTTCGTTGACCGCTCACATTGTCATGGAACTATGAAAGGTTAAATACAATCAAAGGTAGGCAATTAAAAGGCTTAGACAACTCCTCAACTGTGAGGTCGTGGTCAGATCTCAGTCAATGAGGTTCAGGCAAGTGTGCGCTGGGCCCCAAGACCAACAAAATGTGATCAGTACGAGGAGCCTCACTATATTCAAACTTCAGCTAAATGAATCTTACAGGAGTCAAAGAAATGCAGGGATAGATCTTAAAGCAATAATTGAAATTGTAATGAAAACCCCTAAATATTTCTTTTCTTATGCCAAAATCAAAGTTCGAGTACAAATTCCAGTAAGTCCCCCTACACTAAGACGTGATGGGTACTACACAGATGGCAGGTAGGAAATGAGCCGCTAACCAGACTGGAGAGTCGAAGACCTTAAATTATTTTTTTATGTGAGGGACAACTGTATTGGTAGTCACACATCTTTCTGATGTATCCTGATGCCCAAATGGTCTTCAAAAAGGGATAATTGACATGCCTGGTACACCCTCCCACAGGCTCAGACTCAGGGAATTCCATTTTCTCAAAGAACCTGCAAGAAGCCCTTATCATGTTACTTGTACACCTATGGAGAGGGACCATGGACTCATGGTCGTCCTCAGTGCTAAAAAACAACAGACATAGATCCACTCCCCACTAAGGGAGGCACAGTGAGCAATAGCAAAGGAACTATCGACCGATAGCGCTAATATCCCATATTCATAAAAAATTCAGCTAGTGGAAACCCATCTTTGCACAACCCAGGGCAGCATGGGTTTACGCAGGTCGCTCTAC